GATGTGTATAGGGTATTTGGAGATTAACAATGTCATGCAGTTGAGTACTGATGTGTATAGGGTATTTGGAGGTTAACAATGTCATGCAGTTGAGTACTGATGTGTATAGGGTATTTGGAGATTAACAATGTCATGCAGTTGAGTACTGCTGTATAGGGTATTCGGAGGTTAACAATGTCATGCAGTTGAGTACTGCTGTTTATGAGATTGCCATGCAGTGGATTCTTCGTGTATAGGCTACATAGAGACTTATTGCAGAGGAACTGGAATTGCTTTGAGTTTAAACATATTAAATGTTAAATATTTAGGTTAGCTTATTAATTTAGTTCATGTTAGGTTACTATAAATCTATCAATAATCTATTTACAAGCATACTGCTACAGTAGTATATCGACAACATAACAGTAACTAACTATATGTATGCAAGAAGACACGCTGTGGGACCTGATGCTTTACTGTAACCGGAGAAACATGCTTAAAGATTCAGTGACAAAACACTCTCCACGAGACTGTGTGGCAGGAGCGTTAACTTCACCTTTCCTGTAGTCGACTTTTTCTCTTCATGTCGAGGAATACACCAGCAGCTTAAGTCCAAATTTCACATCTTTTGAGGTTCAACCTTCTAAGAAGATTTTTAAGAGCATCATACGAGTTTTGCTCAGAAGTTGTTTTACGCCAAGTAGAATCTGTTTCGGCAGAAAGGCGGGGCTAGTTCTTCTCTTGCATTGACAATTTATATTTATATTTATATATTTGATCATGACTGCATCATTCAGAACGTTTTATTGTAGACATGTGCAGGATATTTTCAAATCTGATGCGTCATTGACAAAAATGATGCCAGATCCAATTTCCTATTTCGTTCCCGTGTTTTTCAGGTGAACAATTGACTTGGCCTCTAGTCGACATCAACATTCAATTTGTGTTGAGGAAAACGATATAAACATGTTGACGCATAAGGACTTTGGACCCAAACACAACACACACAAGGTCGTGTGATATTTCATAAATCTTGTTTATTTGACTAGCGAACGTCATGTTTATTGTTTTGACGTCTGGCAAAGTGGGTGTGTTATTCAGGTTGAGTTGACAAACATCTTTAAGCCGTGTGCAACAAAACGTCACTTTGTACGTGTTTATATGCTAAAATGAGAAACACGTCATTGAAATGTACGTTTGAATTCATTACGTTACATTTGACAACGTCAACTTGTTCATACGTCAGGACGTATTTCCTCTGACTATTCCTAGCCAGTTGCAAATGAGTGTGACGCATCGCAAGGATCAGTTTATACAGTGAACCTTGGGGCAAGCTTGTATTCCAAAATTGGTGACAAATTTCCCTCTGGGTTTTGGCATTTCCAGACATTGCCTTATAAAATATCACCTGACGTCAACGTTCTATGGCGCAAAGACCCCAAGCTACGAGAGAAGGAGAACTAAGGACCATACAACGCCACGATTCGTTAAGGAAACGAGGTCTAGAGGCTTAGACTTCTTCACTGACGGCTACGATGATGCTATCTCCCGTCTGCTAAGTTAGGAACTCTATTCTAGGCAAGAAAGTGCCCTCCCTACGCAGTGGCGGCCACCGAGATGTTGTTTCACGTCATGACACGCGTACACCGATTTACGACATCGGTTGTGGTTTAAGGCAGTCTTGTGCAACTGCTTCCATTCATGAGGCAGTTATATTTAGCTAACATGCTGCTCAGGGTTACTTGCGTGTGTGAGCGATTCCTCGTATCGCGGGGAGAGCATCCCACTATATTACGACATAGCTCCAGATCGGGTTGAAGATGAAGCCAACTGCTGATAAACACCTGTTTCACGACCTTCAGTGTTTTAAACTGGCCACATCTCACCACATCCTTCTATCCGCATCAGACAGAGACCAAAATATACATGTGTTTCGTGAGATCACGACTCTCAACTTTTACAGAAATTAACCAAGCTATAACTTTGAACATACGCTGTTAAATGTTAAAATAACACCTTCTTAAATTGTTTCATGCTAACGTGATGGCACAATTCATAAGAAACATTATAACCGGAACCCTTTTAAAGTTTTGTAAATTCAAATATATATGTTGTTGGTTTGGTTGGTTTGTTGTTTTACGCCGTACTCAGCAATATTCCAGCTATATAACGGCGGTCTGTAAATAATCGAGTCTGAACCAGACAATCCAGTTATTGATATCATGAGCATCGATTCATTGGGATCGATGGCGTGCTTCAACCATGTCAGCGAGCCTAACCACCCGATCTCGTTAGTCGCCTCTTACGACAAGCATAGTCGCCTTTTACGGCAAGAATTGTTTGCTGAAGACCTATTCTACCCCGGACCATCACGGGTTCAAATATATATGTACAAAGAAATCCGAAATATGGATGGATGAGTTAGAAATAGCACAGCAGCCTGTAGTGATCAAATTTAGACCAGACACCCCAGTGGTTAACAATCCACACTGTCTTTAATGTTTCCGTCTGTTTTAAAACTTAGTATTGGGTAAAGAAGACACATAACGTACCAGGCTATATAGTGAACGCCCGCTTATGCTAACGGTACCTTTCCCGCTGAAATCTCCCGGAGTAAAAACAAAATCAGGATTTACGAATTAATGAATGAATTTGGGGTTTTACGACGTTGTGGGCAGTATTTCAGTTATATCTCTGGTTTTAGGCGTTAACCAGGAGCACGAATATGGTGTTGACACACTAAGAAAACTTAAGCAGGGCGAATCTGGGATTCGAACCCACGATCTTAAGGTTCTGGTACGTCTAAAGGATATCACGTTAACTTGGCACACCCTCTGAAATAAGAAAATCACACGAGGGCCAAACGAAAGCGACGACGTATGAAAATATCTAGACGAACCAGCCTGTGAAATGGTTAAGAAAGCCATCATCATTTAGACCATAGGGGACTCTCGTGCATAATAAAAAAACAAGCGAATTAGGGTGACGGATAAACATGTGTTTTATCATTACGTTTCAGACACGCAAGCATTCTCTGCTGTTTAAATTTCTAGTCGATAAGTATAACTTCCGGAAGGACATCTTAATGTTTCTCATAAAAACAGTATTTTTGAATCGATTTGAGTTATTTTTGTACAATGTTTGTTGTCGTAAAGCACCTTCATTCGGAGCACGCCCAAGGCTAGGCTTTAGATGCAAAGACATCATCTCGTGTCTATTGTCATCCTTTTTATCAGTACTTTTTGGTCACTGATAATTGCAAGCACTGCACATTTTTGTGAAACCCACGAGCACGGGTATGGTGCTGACAAACCTAGAAACATAATCGGGGCGAACCGGGATTCGAAACCACAATCGTAGGTTTCTGGCCTGCCCAAGGGACGCAACTCTGCACAGCGAAATATCAACTCAGTATTTTGAAATTTCAACTTATGTATCTTGAAATTTCAACTTAGCTTCTTGAAATTTCAAGAAAATAAGTTGAAATTTCAAGATACTTAGTTGAAATTTTAAGATACTAAGTTGAAATTTTAAGATTATAACTTGAAATTTCAACTTATTACTTGAAATTTTAAGATCATTATCTTGAAATTTCAACATGACATCTTAAAATTTCAAGTTAGTATTAAAAAACAAAAACATAACGGCCCTAAAAGGCTTCCGTACCTTACTGCTCTTGGGTACCACTGAACTACACTGTTTGATCATTTGACGGAGGTTTGCATGTGTGAGTGAGTGACTTGGGTTTAACGCCGCTCTGAAATGTATCCCAATTAAATCACGGCGTGTAAGCTTAATGTGGAAGGAAAGCCCGAAGTGATGCAGGTCTTAGGCGTGTAACACGTCTGACACCTTGGTGAAACCACGAGCATGGGTATGGTGCTGATAAACTTTAAAAAAATACTCGGGTCGAACCCACGATCATTGGTTTCAGACGTGTCCAAGGGACGCAACTCAGCACAGCGAATTGCGGTGTCTTAGACGACTGAGCCACCCGTGACCCTGGTTTGTATGTGTAAAACTAATACAAAAAAATTCCAATGTTTTTTTCTTTTCTTGTACACCTTTCATCATGACATTTGTCCTACTGTAGTTAAATGTCAGGTTATCAATTAAATGTGGGATGTTAGCTTGACATTACAGAACGATGACGTCGATAACGACATTCAGCAACCACCAATTTGATTTATTTCGTAAATGAATGAAATTATATTAAACTTCTTGCGTAAGCAGCACTTCCTAGATGTCAGAGCCCCAGCACTCGAATGACAAGGTCATGACATCGATTTTGGAATAGAACGATAATACTGGATAATAGGATAATACTGAAGTTCAATTGATTGATAAATTTGTTGATTTCCATTTGGACATATTCAATAAATATGCTAATGGCACTCCGTGATCTGGTATAGGTGGCGCGATAGCTTTGAACTTTTATAGCATGTTCATAGGCCCCCGTTAATAAAGATTATTTTGATGAGTTTCTTAAAGCTTTATGCCATCATCACAGTGACTCCTATAGCAGAAAACATCTTTTTTTTTTACTGTTTGAAGATTTAATTTGCTTTCTTCAAAGAAACATCCATTGTTTCTCTGAGCCTAACAGTAGTTTTGGAACTGCGAAACCATTTTTCGGGACGTTTATATTTTTTTCTAAAACCGGAGGCTAATCGAGAGAAAGGGGCTGATTTGGGGGCGGAAATGACACCGTCGGTAGTCACTTTGGCTGCACTCGTGCAAAAATCACCAGGGTTTTGTCACGATACTAACAGACAGGAGGACAGTGGACAGACCCAGGACAGAGCAGACAGTGGACAGGCCAAGGACAGACAGACAGTGGACAGACCCAGGACAGACAGACAGAGCAGACAGTGGACAGACCCAGGACAGACAGACAGAGCAGACAGTGGACAGGCCAAGGACAGACAGAGCAGACAGTGGACAGACCCAGGACGGGCAGACAGAGCAGACAGTGGACAGACCAAGGACAGACAGACAGAGCAGACAGTGGACAGACCCAGGACGGGCAGACAGAGCAGACAGTGGTCAGACCCAGGACGGGCAGACAGAGCAGACAGTGGACAGACCCAGGACGGGCAGACAGACCCAGGACAGACAGAGCAGACAGTGGACAGACCCAGGACGGGCAGACAGAGCAGACAGTGGACAGACCCAGGACGGGCAGACAGAGCAGACAGTGGACAGACCCAGGACGGGCAGACAGAGCAGACAGTGGACAGACCCAGGACAGACAGACAGAGCAGACAGTGGACAGACCCAGGACGGGCAGACAGACCCAGGACAGACAGTGGACAGACCAAGGACAGACAGACAGAGCAGACAGTGGACAGACCCAGGACGGGCAGACAGACCCAGGACAGACAGGGCAGACAGTGGACAGACCCAGGACGGGCAGACAGAGCAGACAGTGGACAGACCCAGGACGGGCAGACAGAGCAGACAGTGGACAGACCCAGGACGGGCAGACAGAGCAGACAGTGGACAGACCCAGGACGGGCAGACAGAGCAGACAGTGGACAGACCCAGGACGGGCAGACAGAGCAGACAGTGGACAGACCCAGGACAGACAGACAGACAGGCAGTGGACAGACCCAGGACAGACAGACAGAGCAGACAGTGGACAGACCCAGGACAGACAGAGCAGACAGTGGACAGATCCAGGAGAGACAGACAGAGCAGACAGTGGACAGACCCAGGAGAGACAGACAGAGCAGACAGTGGACAGACCCAGGACGGGCAGACAGAGCAGACAGTGGACAGACCCAGGACGGGCAGACAGAGCAGACAGTGGACAGACCCAGGACGGGCAGACAGAGCAGACAGTGGACAGACCCAGGACGGGCAGACAGAGCAGACAGTGGACAGACCCAGGACGGGCAGACAGAGCAGACAGTGGACAGACCCAGGACGGGCAGACAGAGCAGACAGTGGACAGACCCAGGACAGACAGAGCAGACAGTGGACAGATCCAGGAGAGACAGACAGAGCAGACAGTGGACAGACCCAGGACGGGCAGACAGAGCAGACAGTGGACAGACCCAGGACGGGCAGACAGAGCAGACAGTGGACAGACCCAGGACGGGCAGACAGAGCAGACAGTGGACAGATCCAGGAGAGACAGAGCAGACAGTGGACAGGCCAAGGACAGACAGACAGAGCAGACAGTGGACAGACCAAGGACAGACAGACAGAGCAGACAGTGGACAAACCCAGGACGGGCAGACAGAGCAGACAGTGGACAGGCCCAGGACAGACAGAGCAGACAGTGGACAGACCCAGGACGGGCAGACAGACCCAGGACAGACAGAGCAAACAGTGGACAGGCCAAGGACAGACAGAGCAGACAGTGGACAGACCCAGGACGGGCAGACAGACCCAGGACAGACAGAGCAGACAGTGGACAGACCCAGGACGGGCAGACAGACCCAGGACAGACAGACAGAGCAGACAGTGGACAGACCCAGGACAGACAGAGCAGACAGTGGACAGACCCAGGACGGGCAGACAGAGCAGACAGTGGACAGACCCAGGACGGGCAGACAGACCCAGGACAGACAGAGCAGACAGTGGACAGACCAAGGACAGACAGACAGAGCAGACAGTGGACAGACCCAGGACAGACAGAGCAGACAGTGGACAGACCCAGGACGGGCAGACAGACCCAGGACAGACAGACAGAGCAGACAGTGGACAGACCCAGGACAGACAGAGCAGACAGTGGACAGACCCAGGACGGGCAGACAGAGCAGACAGTGGACAGACCCAGGACAGACAGACAGAGCAGACAGTGGACAGACCCAGGACAGACAGAGCAGACAGTGGACAGACCCAGGACGGGCAGACAGAGCAGACAGTGGACAGACCCAGGACGGGCAGACAGACCCAGGACAGACAGAGCAGACAGTGGACAGACCAAGGACAGACAGACAGAGCAGACAGTGGACAGACCCAGGACAGACAGAGCAGACAGTGGACAGACCCAGGACGGGCAGACAGACCCAGGACAGACAGAGCAAACAGTGGACAGGCCAAGGACAGACAGAGCAGACAGTGGACAGACCCAGGACGGGCAGACAGACCCAGGACAGACAGAGCAGACAGTGGACAGACCCAGGACGGGCAGACAGACCCAGGACAGACAGACAGAGCAGACAGTGGACAGACCCAGGACAGACAGACAGACCCAGGACAGACAGAGCAGACAGTGGACAGACCCAGGACAGACAGAGCAGACAGTGGACAGACCCAGGACGGGCAGACAGACCCAGGACAGACAGACAGAGCAGACAGTGGACAGACCCAGGACAGACAGAGCAAACAGTGGACAGGCCAAGGACAGACAGAGCAGACAGTGGACAGACCCAGGACGGGCAGACAGACCCAGGACAGACAGAGCAGACAGTGGACAGACCCAGGACAGACAGAGCAGACAGTGGACAGACCCAGGACGGGCAGACAGACCCAGGACAGACAGAGCAGACAGTGGACAGACCCAGGACGGGCAGACAGACCCAGGACAGACAGAGCAGACAGTGGACAGACCCAGGACGGGCAGACAGACCCAGGACAGACAGAGCAGACAGTGGACAGGCCCAGGACGGGCAGACAGACCCAGGACAGACAGAGCAGACAGTGGACAGACCCAGGACGGGCAGACAGACCCAGGACAGACAGAGCAGACAGTGGACAGGCCCAGGACGGGCAGACAGACCCAGGACAGACAGAGCAGACAGTGGACAGACCCAGGACGGGCAGACAGACCCAGGACAGACAGAGCAGACAGTGGACAGACCCAGGACGGGCAGACAGACCCAGGACAGACAGAGCAGACAGTGGACAGGCCCAGGACGGGCAGACAGACCCAGGACAGACAGAGCAGACAGTGGACAGACCCAGGACGGGCAGACAGACCCAGGACAGACAGAGCAGACAGTGGACAGACCCAGGACGGGCAGACAGACCCAGGACAGACAGACAGAGCAGACAGTGGACAGACAGACATAGCTGAAAGTGGAATGACCCTGGACAGACAGACAGAACAGACAGTGGATCGCCCAAGGCAGACACCGTTTCACCGCACCCAATGAAGATCGTTATTTTCGTATTGTTCATTTAAGGATCTGCTTTTTGACTGTTACCCCATCAGCATCAATCCTAGAACCTGTGAACGTTTCCGGGGGGTCAAGGTGGACGTCAAAGATTCCTGTACAACGATGTCAGATCAGGAAATGGTAGAGAGTCATGTTACTCAAGCTCTGTAGAGAAGACAGGTCGATAATTTCTCTCCAAAATAAATCAGTCCGCTAAGGGGACATTCTATGCCACATATGAAGTTTTTAGTTTGACGAGTCAGATCTTTAAACAGTTTTGTACTGTGTGTTTTAGATGTCAAGTTAGATTCACGTAAAGTTCACTTTTGTCTGTCAACAATTTTAGTAAAATGCTACCAAGTGTGATATATTTCGGGATCAAAATGACCATCAGCAGACAAATCGACAATATCCTATCCTCGATCAAAAGAAATATAATATGAAACGGTCAGAATCGTGCAATGGACACGTCGAGTTTTTGAGGCTTTAATTCTAATTCCGACACTCAAGCGAAAATGTCGGAGAACAAGTATCGCTGCTCACAGTACCAGTCACTTGATTGTCTGGTCCTGAGTTGTTTATTTACCAGCCGCCGTCATATAATTATAATATTGCAGACAAACAACAAACAAAATATAAATCTTTGGGTGCCCGAGATCCTCTTGCCCATTGTCCATCTGTCCAGTCATATATAGACAGACGTTGCTGAGGTTGACCAGACATGACATGTTGATTTCGGGGCAGTGGAGTAGCCTAGTGGTTAACACGTTCGCTTTCACGTCGAAGGCTCCGGTTCGATTCTTCACATGGGTACATTGTGTGACACCCATTTCTGGTGTCCCATGCAGTGATTTTGTTGGAATATTGCTTAAAGCGGCGTAAAACCACACTCACTCACGCATGCTGTTTTCACTGGCTACTCATAATTTACGCATATATTACTCATGCACTACTCACGTGCTACATGACCTATGTAGGTTTTCATACAGTTCAATGACACACTTCTCTATTTCACACCCTGGTAGAAGGGACATCCGTTGTCAATGACGTACGCGTGTTGAAATAAAAGTGATAATTAATCGAAATCGCCCAAGATATTTCCTGTTGATTTCACACATGAAAGAGAAAAACACGTAAACAATCTTCAAGTTCGAACTTCAAGTTACTCATTTTAGTCAGTACTTATTTAAGTACTGGGTCATGCCGTTACTCCAACTTCTGCAACTCTGTCTTAATGTGGAGTCAACGATGATGGTGATGATGATGGGTTTAGGGATTTAAAAATATATATATTGACCCCGAGAATTCTTGAAAATAATAATTATGCTACAGACTGTTGACACAAAAATTACATTGTTCCAAAGTGTTTTTCTTTTTCCTTTAAATCAGGCTCATGGTTTTAAATATAAAAAAAATCCCGCTTTGTTGCTGTACCTGAAAAATCCAAAATCAACAAAGTCGCCAGCCTGACCACCGGATCCACTGAATCGCCTCTTACGAATACCGGGTGATGTAATCTGACGTCTTAGGATCTTTGAAAGACGTCGTGTGCTTTGTTTATTGTTTAACACCGCAGTCACCAATATTCCAGCTATGTGGCGACGGTCTGTAAATAATCGAGTCTGGACCAGACAGTCCAACGATTGATATCATAAGCATCGATCCACGCAATTGGGATACGATGACATGCATCAACCAAGTCTGTGAGCGTGACCACTCGATCCCGTTAGCCGCCTCTTACGACAAGCATAGTCGCCTTTTACGACAAGCATAGGTTGCTGAAGACCTATTCCATCCGGATCTTCACGGGCCTGAAGGTACAATTGAAGAAAGATTTTTACTTTGTCATTACATCCATGTGGTATTGCTGTACACAACAGTCGAATCCAATGATTTTCTTTGAACATCCTAAAAGGTCGCCTGCGTCTAAGGCTATTTGATTGATGGCATATTTTCTCAACTTTCATGTATTAAAGATGGTGTGATTTTCAGAACTGAAATGTTTAAAAAAACATGTCTTGTTGGTTCTCGATGCCGGCTAACTCGTGTCGATAATTTCTCTCCAAAATAAATCAGTCCGCTAAGTGGACATTCAATGCCACAGATGAAGTTTTGAGTTTGACGAGACAGATCTTCAAACAGTTTTGTACTGTGTGTTTTAGATGTCAAGTTAGATTTGGCCCAAACAGGTTCACTTTTGTCTGTCAACAATTTTAGCAAAATGCTACCAAGTGTGATATGTTTGGCGATCAAAATGACCATCAGCAGACAAATCGACAATAACTTATCCTCGATCAAAAGAAATTTAATATGAAAGGGTTAGAATAGTGCAATGGACTCGTTTGGTTTTGAAGCTTTTATTCTAATTCTGACACTCAAGCGAAAATGTCACGTTGATTTCGGGGCAGTGGAGTAGCCTAGTGGTTAACGCGTTCGCTTTCACGTCGAAGGCTCCGGTTCGATTCTTCACATAGGTACATTGTGTGACACCCATTTCTGGTGTCCCATGCAGTCATATTGTTGGAATATTGCTTAAAGCGGCGTAAGACCACACTCACTAACTCACTCATGCTGTTTTCACTGGCTACTCATAATTTACGCATATACTACTCATGCACTAGTCACGTGCTACATGACCTATGTAGGTTTTTATGCAGTTCAATGACATACTTCTGTATTTCACACCCTGGTAGAAGGGACATCCGTTGTCAATGACGTACGCGTGTTGAAATAAAAGTGATAATTAATCGAAATCGCCCAAGACATTTCCTGTTGATTTCACACATGAAAGAGAAAAACACGTAAAAAATCTTCAAGTTCGAACTTCAAGTTACTCATTTTAGTCAGTACTTATTTAAGTACTGGGTCATGCCGTAACTCCAACATCTGCAACTCTGTCTGAATGTGGAGTCGACGATGATGGTGATGATGATGATGGGTTTAGGGATTTAAAAAAATATATATTGACACCGAAAATTATTGAAAAAAATAATTATGCTACAGACTGTTGACACAAAAATTACATTGTTCCAATGTGTTTTTCTTTTTCTTTGAAATCAGGCTCATAGTTTTAAATATAAAAATAATCCCGCTTTGTTGCTGTAGCTGAACAATCCCAAATCAACCAAGTCGCCAGCTTGACCACCGGATCCACTGAATCGCCTCTTACGAATACCGGGTGATGTAATCTGACGTCTTAGGATCTTTGAAAGACGTCGTGTGCTTTGTTTATTGTTTAACGCCGCACTCAGCAATATTCCAGCTATGTGGCGACGGTCTGTAAATAATCGAGTCTGGACCAGACAGTCCAACGATTGATATCATAAGCATCGATCCACGCAATTGGGATACGATGACATGCATCAACCAAGTCTGCGAGCGTGACCACTCGATCCCGTTAGTCGCCTCTTATGACAAGCATAGTCGCCTTTTACGACAAGCATGGGTTGCTGAAGACCTATTCTACCCCGGATCTTCACGGGCCTGAAGGTACAATTGAAGAAAGATTTTTACTTTGTCATTACATCCATGTGGTATTGCTGTACACAACAGTCGAATCCAATGATTTTCTTTGAACATCCTAGAAGGTCACCTGCGTCTAAGGCTATTTGATTGATGGCATATTTTCTCAACTTTCATGTATTAAAGATGGTGTGATTTTCAGAACTGAAATGTTTGAAACATGTCTTGTTGGTTCTCGATGCCGCCGGCTAACTCGTGTCGATAATTTCTCTCCAAAATAAATCAGTCCGCTAAGTGGACATTCAATGCCACAGATGAAGTTTTGAGTTTGACGAGACAGATCTTCAAACAGTTTTGTACTGTGTGTTTTAGATGTCAAGTTAGATTTGGCCCAAACAGGTTCACTTTTGTCTGTCAACAATTTTAGCAAAATGCTACCAAGTGTGATATGTTTGGCGATCAAAATGACCATCAGCAGACAAATCGACAATAACTTATCCTCGATCAAAAGAAATATAATTTGTAATGGTCAGAATAGTGCAATGGACTCGTTTGGTTTTGAGGCTTTTATTCTAATTCTGACACTCAAGCGAAAATGTCATGTTGATTTCGGGGCAGTGGAGTAGCCTAGTGGTTAATGCGTTCGCTTTCACGTCGAAGGCTCCGGTTCGATTCTTCACATAGGTACATTGTGTGACACCCATTTCTGGTGTCCCATGCAGTCATATTGTTGGAATATTGCTTAAAGCGGCGTAAAACCACACTCACTAACTCACTCATGCTGTTTTCACTGGCTACTCATAATTTACGCATATACTACTCATGCACTACTCACGTGCTACATGACCTATGTAGGTTTTTATGCAATTCAATGACACACTTCTGTATTTCACACCCTGGTAGAAGGGACATCCGTTGTCAATGACGTACGCGTGTTGAAATAAAAGTGATGATTCATCGAAATCGCCCAAGACATTTCCTGTTGATTTCACACGTGAAAGAGAAAAACACGTAAAAAATCTTCAAGTTCGAACTTCAAGTTACTTATTTTAGTCAGTACTTATTTAAGTACTGGGTGATGCCGTTACTCCAACTTTTGCAACTCTGTCTGAATGTGGAGTCGACGATGATGGTGATGATGATGATTGGTTTAGGGATTTAAAAAAATATAAATTTACACCGAAAATTCTTGAAAAAAATAATTATGCTACAGACTGTTGACACAAAAATTACATTGTTCCAAAGTGTTTTTCTTTTTCTTTTAAATCAGGCTCATAGTTTTAAATATTAAAAATATCCCGTTTCGTTGCTGTACCAGAAAAATCCAAAATCAACTAAGTCGCCAGCCTGACCACCGGATCCACTGAATCGCCTCTTACGACATGTAGGTTGCTGGGATCAATTCTAAACCTCTTAGTAATTCTCAGTTCTAAGCTCTTAGTATCTGGGGGCATATTATTTAGAGCCTACAGATGACGTGTTGCTGGGCAACGGCTTTGGGTTGGCCATGTCAGGATCCGCTTGATGCCAAGCTG